AAAAAAAAAAAAAAAACTATCTGAAACCGTACCAGCAACCTGAGAAAAATTATGTGATATACACACCTTTTCCCCCTGGTATGAATCATGCGATTTTTAAGAGTCACTCTCCCAAACACTTAGAGATCCCACCTATTGTAGTGAAGATGCGTTTACTACAGTTTACCATTCATGTGTAAGTTCGTTCTACCATCCTCCTGCTGCAGAGTCGTTACGTGTGTGTCCTCACGTACATGCCTACACTGCTCGTTTCTTACTTTATCTACAGTTCTTCTAATTTTTTTCCCGTGTCTTGGAAGGGTCGTCTTGTATGGTTTGCCTAACTACATACTATTCTCTCGGCCGATCCACTGCAATTACCCGAAGGTCTGGTCCGTCTTCACCATGATGCAGGCCCTAGGGTTCTTGTGGCCGTTGTTGAAGTTCCCTCTGTCCTCATACCCAGCAGGTGCGGCTCCCCACCAATAGACTGGAGCAACAGGGAAACTTGCAAAAGGGGGATGTTCATATCACCTCTCCTAGCAGATTTTTCCTTTGGTTTTCAATTTCATAAATAAATAAAAAATTATTGCGCAGCAGGGTCCGGCGGTCGACGGCGCTGTCACCCTCTTCGGCGTCCCCTTCCAGGGAACCTGCACACGGCCCGCTGCAGAGGTTGCCTCTCAAGACTACAATTCGGGGAGCAGTGAAGCCCCCGGATTTGTAGTCTGGCCTATTCCCGGTTCGCTCGCCGCTACCAAGGGAATCCTCGTTGGTTTCTCAGCTCTGTCGGGCCTCGCTCCACTATTTCCGAAATGTACACAACGAGAGTGAATCTTCCCTTAGAACATGGAAAAATACATCGTCGTGAGTTTTGTCTTTTGTGCATATTGAGAGCAGTGGAGCAAGGCACAAAAGACAAAAATTAAAACCCAAAAAAAACGGCACTCTCCACATGCACAAAACGCAAAAAAAATGGCAATGTATCTTTCCATGTTCTAGCAGTGGATTCAGTCTCATTTTGCACATTCTATCATTTCGTTTCCTTCTCACGAAAGCCCTGCCCCCTTTCCCCAAAAGGAAACTGACACACACGACGGCCGCCGACCAACGTCGTTATAAGAACGACCTCCCCAACCCGCCAAGGGCGCTGAGCCTCTAAACTTTGAGACGACCACTCGGCGTACTGGTCGTTTTAACCTCCCGGACCGCACCCTTCCCACGCACCTATCGACGCCCTCTAAACCCCGCTTAACTGACGAAAACCTTCCTTAAAAAAAAACTGCGCTAGACGACAAAAAATGCGACCTGGTTAAGGTGCAGCCTATGGCTGCGGATTCCCTCTCTGAAACTCTAGGGCGGCTGTAGCGCGCCCAGACAAACCGGCCCAATTTTGGAGTCACCTCCTGTAGGTGACTTCGAATTCCCTGAATTCCCTTGAAAACGGCACCAATAGGTTGCTTTCGGTCCGCCCTCTTTGGGCTTCTTTCCACACCACTTCACTTGAAACTCGAGTGCGCACTCGAGTTACAAAAGTGATTAAAAAATACCCAAGTCACATTTCATTCCACTCAAACCTTCAGTCGGCCCTTGAAATGAGCAGGAACAGCTCGCTAGAGGTTCAACGAGGACAATGGCGTTAGAAAAAGGAGAATAAACGGGGAAAAAAACTATTGGGGGTTTCTACACGTACCTGCAGCGCTGATTTCAAGTGCAGCTTAAGTGTGCCTAGAGAGGTGACTTGAGAAACAGGTAGGTTTGCCTGGGCCGCACTTGAGCCGCCCTTGAGCATTTCCTGCCCATTTGCCGAAAATATAATCACAGGCGGATCGTGATTAGTGAAACTCAAGGGCACCATGAAACAGTGTTGGGCAAGAAACCCTTGAGTTTCAAGTGGTGTGGAACGAGCCTTTTTTTTTGTTTTTTTTAATTCCAATTTGCATTGTCTTGACCTAACCACGGCGCAACACATGTTTCCGCTCCTTTTGCGAACGGCAACTGTAGGGTGTAGTGGAACGACGCTGACTTCTAGTATTTTTTTTATTACGTTTAGGCTCAAGGGCACGTGAAGGGCGGCCCTTGAGTTTTTTTCAAGTCAAGGATAATGGAACGAGGCCCAAAAAAAGAAAGGAAAGGCAGGTGAGAATGTCCAGACCTACGTCCCACCACCAGTAGCAGGGGAATGGGTTGTATATAGAGATAGGTTTATGTATAGAGCTCATTGAAATGCCTTTGAAAGTTTGGAAAGTTCGTTTGATACCCCTGAAACACAAGTGTATCGTGAAATGTCGTCCACGCAGTGATAAAACTTTGTGAATAATTTTATTCATGTATAAAATATTTGTCGAAATGCCCCTAAGAGTTTCAAAAGCTTGTGTGATACCCATAAAACACAAGGGGTGGCGTCCTCACAATGGTGAAATTTTATGCAATACGCCACTTGCCCACTGGACCTGGCATGTATTGCACGTGGCACTACCGGACAGTATTCAACATCTGCAGATGCCTCAGTGCATCTGATCGTTGGACCCTTGGCACCATTGGCAGCAACTCTCGCAATGCCTCTGCTTGCATTGGGCATGACTTTTGTTTGCCCCTCTACCCTCTTTGCTCTCTCTCCTTCTCTTCCCTTTTCTTTCCTTTTGCAACCTCTGATTAGCGCAACACCACTGGACAAAAAATAAGGTATCGCACCCCACCCATAAGATTGGAGCCAACCATCCACTCGGCAAGTGTTGATACACTTCATGCAAGATTATTCATCCAATATGCAAATGATATCAGCCTACTCATAATGAGCGTATAGCATTTACAACGAAGCAAAGTTGAGAGCACGCCATAAACAAACAAACAAACAAATAAAAAAAACTAGAGTGACGAAAATGTCAAAATGGTGCAAAACAGCCCATCACAATGTAACATAACATAACACATTAAAACATAATGTTGTTCGACCAGCCTTGTGTAGTGCCCTCTAATGAGTACATGGCAGTGCTTCCCTATTATCGCAACACACGCAGAAGACGGCAAATCGACAGAACACAGCCTGATCCCTATAAACCAAAACTGACCAGTACAACATAGTGTAACTATTTTTTATAAGAGGAAAAAAAAACAATCACTACAACTTAGTGCAATGTGGACAGATTAGTGTAGGGCAAGGCAGGACCCG